GTTTTAGACACCAGGTGGACCATCTGTGGTTTTAGACACCAGGTGGACCATCTGTGGTTTAACCAGGTGGACCATCTGTGGTTTAGACACCAGGTGGACCATCTGTGGTTTAACCAGGTGGACCATCTGTGGTTTAGACACCAGGTGGACCATCTATGGTTTAGACACCAGGTGGACCATCTGTGGTTTAGACACCAGATGGACCATCTATGGTTTAGACACCAGGTGGACCATCTGTGGTTTAGACACCAGGTGGACCATCTGTGATTTAGACACCAGGTGGACCATCTATGGTTTAGACACCAGGTGGACCATCTATGGTTTAGACACCAGATGGACCATCTATGGTTTAGACACCAGGTGGACCATCTATGTTTTAGACACTAGGTGGACCATCTGTGGTTTAGACACTAGGTGGACCATCTGTGGTTTAGACACCAGGTGGACCATCTGTGGTTTAGACACCAGGTGGACCATCTGTGGTTTAGACACCAGGTGGACCATCTGTGGTTTAGACACCAGGTGGACCATCTGTGGTTTAGACACCAGGTGGACCATCTGTAGTTTTAGACACCAGGTGGACCATCTGTAGTTTTAGACACCGGGTGGACCATCTGTGGTTTAGACACCAGGTGGACCATCTGTGGTTTAGACACCAGGTGGACCATCTATTGTTTAGACACCAGGTGGACCATCTGTGGTTTAGACACAAGGTGGACCATCTGTATTTTTAGACACCAGGTGGACCATCTGTGGTTTAGACACCAGGTGGACCATCTGTGGTTTTAGACACCAGGTGGACCATCTGTAGTTTTAGACACCAGGTGGACCATCTGTGGTTTAGACACCAGGTGGACCATCTGTAGTTTTAGACACCAGGTGGACCATCTGTGGTTTTAGACACCAGGTGAACCATCTGTGGTTTTAGACACCAGGTGGAACATCTGTGGTTTAGACACCAGGTGAACCATCTGTGGTTTAGACACCAGGTGAACCATCTGTGGTTTAGACACCAGGTGGACCATCTGTGGTTTAAACACAAATTGGACCATCAGTTCCATGTGGACTCTAAGGTTCTGTTTGGACCCTAAGGTTCTGGATGGGTTCCATGTGTCCTGCAGGTCTCAGCAGCTTCCTGGTGATGGTTCTGTTTGGCTCGGAGCTGAAGGTCCTCCATCTCTCTGAGAGGATCTCCAACTTCAACGAGGAGAAGTTTGTCTTCCAGACCTTCACGGAGCGCTACGACCGAAGCTTCTGGCTCTTCCTCCTCATCTTCTTCCTCCACGGATTCAACATAGTTCTGATCCGCCTGGCAGGGATCCAGTTCCCCTTCCAGGAGAACAAAGGGGTGGACCTGAGTGGGGGGGCAGCAGACCTCCTGTACTGACGGGTCGGGTTGAAGGTGGATCAGAATCAAACAGGTTCTGCTCTGGTTTCCTAGTCCTGACAGAACCAGTCCACCTGAGGAGCTTCAGAAAGATTTTAATAAATCAGTTTTAGAAAGAGGCTGCAGGTCCAAGGTCAAACCCCCAAACCCGGATCAGGTTTATAGATCAGGATCAGGTTTATAGATCAGGATCGGGTTTACAGATCAGGATTAGGTTTAGGATCAGGTTTATAGATCAGGATCAGGTTTATAGATCAGGATCAGGTTTATAGATCAGGATCAAGTTTATAGATCAGGATTAGGTTTAGGATCAGGTTTATAGATCAGGATCAGGTTTATAGATCAGGATCAGGTTTATAGATCAGGATCAAGTTTATAGATCAGGATCAGGTTTATAGATCAGGATCAGGTTTATAGATCAGGATCAAGTTTATAGATCAGGATCAGGTTTATAGATCAGGATCAGGTTTATAGATCAGGATCAAGTTTATAGATCAGGATCAGGTTTATGGATCAGGATCAGGTTTATAGATCAGGATCAGGTTTATAGATCAAGTTTAGGTTTATAGATCAGGATCAAGTTTAAAGATCAGGATCAAGTTTATAGATCAGGATCAGGTTTATAGATCAGGATCAGGTTTATAGATCAGGATCAGGTTTATAGATCAAGATTAGGTTTATAGATCAAGATTAGGTTTATAGATTAGGATCAAGTTTATAGATCAGGATCAAGTTTATAGATCAGGATCAGGTTTATAGATCAGGATCAGGTTTATAGATCAGGATCA